TTCAATAGTCTCAACATCAATGACTTATAAACACAACTTCCGACAATCGTCTGCTTTTAACTCTTATTGTAACAAAAACTAAACAATAATAAAATATACATTCACAAAAAATTAATTAATCAATAATATCTAAACTAAACAGTCTTTTACATCATGACACTCTACATTGGCTCGTTTGTCATCTTTGGCTCTTGCCTTACATGTGTGGTTTCTCTGTTGTTAGGATCTTCTGGGTCGCAATGCGACCTTGTTCCAGGTTCATTTGCTGGCTAAATAAATCAGGGATTTACATATGGCCCTTTTCTTAGGCAGTATATTTTTGACCATGTACCTGAGACTTTAGAATCACATGTGGAGTCTGCATCAACACTCTACCTTTTCCTCTTTGGTAGCTCATTTGTCATAGTCTGACACATGACAAGCCCCTATTCCGGTTTCCCTTCCTAGTACTTCTCAACCCATACTTGTTCCTCCCTCTCATCATTTTATTCAATGTTGATGGGTGCGATGCCAACTGTATTGGTGACTACCCTGTGGGTTTCGGTCCAGTAGGAGCTCAGTTGTGCAATTTTGTTCCCCTTTGGCAATTTTTTACCACAGATCAGTGGGTTCTTTGGGTTTTATCAGAGGGACTTGTTCTCCAATTCCCCCCCCCCCCCCAACTCCTGAGTACCCATTTCCTTCCCTGTCTCAGGATCCTATCACCTGCCAGCATCTATCAGAGGCAGTACATGACCTTATGTCCCAACAGGCCATCGAACCTGTTTATTCATCTTTTCAAGGGCTTTTATTTGAGCCTGTTTTTTGTCCTCAAGAACACTGGGGACTGGTGGCCTGTAATAGATTTGTCCCACCTCAATCAATTTTTCTATCTACCATGTTTTACCATGGAATCGTTTCTGTCTCTCAGGTGGGCCTTTTCTCTGGGTTTGTGGATGACCAAGATGGAAGTCAGGGATGCATACTTGCATCTTCCAATATCTCATCTGTCATGACCATATCTTCGGTTTGTTCATCATGGGGTGGTTTATCAATTTCATGCACTGCCCTTCGGGTTTGCTTCAGCCCCATATGTTTTTAGGTCAGGTGGTCAGAGCATTTGCTCATCACCTACATGCTCTTGGGTTGTGCTTTCATCATTATGTGGATGACTAGCTACTGCTAGCTCTTTCGAAACAGGAGTTTGCCCATTACACTCATCAGCTGTTTTTTGAGGTGGCTTGAGTGGGCTGGCTAATTCTTTTGAGACAGGTCACGGGTGTTGACTCGCAATCAAAATTTTATTGAACTACTATTTCATGAACTTATGTCAATAACTTTGGTATCAAACTGTGGATTATAATTCAAATTTTAGTGCTATATATTACTCAATTTTTGTGTGTCGTATGGTATGTTGAATGCAGCACTGGTTCAAATTAGATGTTCTTAAAGTCAAAATACTAAGACTACAGTTTTGTACAAATTAGAAACTCAAATTACTGATATTGTCAAGCTAGAATATAAAATAAGAGCCTCTTATCTTTTCAAATTGCTAAGATATTGCTCATGTAATAAATCAAACACAGTGGCACCCCACCCACCTCTTTCCATTTTTGGAAATGCTATCTTATATACACTGACTACTACATATAACATGAATAACCAATTGGAAGTTCAGAACATCCCCCTAGTGGCTTTCTCAGCCATTTTAATGGGCTTGGCACCATTTCTTTCTTTTGAATAAATATCTCAACAAGTTATTGTGTGTCTTTAGTCTGCTCGAAATTTCATATTTTTTAAGACTAAAATACATCTTAGTTACTTAGCTTGATAAATTATGGTGGAATTCTATGGTATTAATGTAGTAATTTATGATTTTTTAGTTATTCAAATGTATACATAAAACCTAAAAAAATTATTTTGTTTCATATCCTCCACATGCAAATTTTTTAAAAGGCTAAGCAACCTATGTCAAGCAGCAACCGAGTACAAAGGTCGTAACTAGAAGAGATAATTGTTTGCTTTACTTCTTTAGTTACTGCTCTACGTTTGAAGAAAAATAAGCTTAAGAACTTATTTCAAAATAGCAATAATCTTTATACATATATAATGTATAATAATTGAAATGTGACTGTATTTGACAAAATACTAGTCTACTAAAATACAGCCAAGACAAATTACTTTGTACAGACAAAAGGTCAGTTTTATGTTATTTGATACAGTAACATAAGTGCACATGAGCTGTATCATTGTAACTTCTGTGTTGTTAGCCAGGCATGGCTGAAAGGTCAATATAATAAAAATAT